TCTACCCTCAAGAACTCTACCTATAAATATGGTTCATCATCACAATAATAAACTTCACATCTCTCGCTTCCTGTTTTTTCAGTATCATAATGTTTATCATACCAAACANAAATTCTTCTTTCGTACTCTTTGAAAATATTTTGACATCAAATGAAAAACAAAAAATCAAAGCTCAAATTCTTGTCTTGTGGAAATCATTTAAGCCCACTGAAAATTCCATTGAAATAGTTTTGGTAGATAAAGAAGTTAGTTATTTATATGCCAATTTCGTACCTTTTTTTTAATTGAATTGCATACGCGTGATATGTATTTTTGTTCTCATGATATGTTTTGCCTTTGACATGTATTTCATAGATTAATATTGATTCTCTTCGTATGTATTGCCTTCCATGAAAAGTAAGATTAATCCATTAAATATTGCCTTGCATTAAAAGTAAACTTCAAAGAAATACGTTAATCTTGCTTCTCTTGATATGTATTGCCTTGGCATGTATTTTTTTCGTATGCCAATTTCATATAAAAATGCACAGTTGGTTTAATTGATTTGTCTCTTCTAAAGATGATATTTCATCCAATTTTAAAACATTAGATTTTTTTTTCATACTGGGAACAAGAATCCACACAACACAACCATTGAAGATGATATGTTTAAAAAACTTCAGAAGGTTGTTAATGATCTTAAACAAGATAATTGCGTGACGTTCAAAATTTTCCATCCTAAAGACTATTGTGGCGACTATAGATCTCAATTCCATATTTACATGTTTATACCCGCACACGGTGCGGATCGGTCATCTAGTACAAAGTAAAACTCTATAAATTAATAATGTTAAAATTTTTATTAATTTATCAAAATATCATTTTATAGATCTATTAAGTACACCGATAAAACTAATTTTAGAGATGATTTTGTATATTGATTTATCAAAATACTAAGTTAATAAAATTTCTAGGATAGTGTAATAAAATATCATGAGTTCTGTAGATACATGTGATCCGGTACAAGTCAACATGTCTTTGATTTAGGAGTTATGAAGTACCTCATTGAAAAAAAATTAAGTACCTTATGAAGTAAGCTGCTTAGAGCTACATCTCTAATTAAAAGAACGTGCCGTTGTGAGTTTGCACAACGTAACACCGTGTTGTTTTTTAACTTTCCTCTACGAAGAAAGCAAAGGGGAAGTCCAAGTGAGTTTCTAAATTCGTTGACCGATCGATCTCACAGTCAGAGAAGAAACCGATGTCAGAGACCGCCGTGTATGGAGGATCAATCGATTGGGAACGGTCTAAGTCGGAGGATGAAGACGACGATGACGAAGAAGAGTATTCGTCGCCGGAGATGTCATCGCAATCATCTCCGCGACCACCTTTATCGTCGAATTTCGAGAAAGATCGACACTTGGTATACTTAGAGATGATGTACGAGTTGCTTCCCTACCATTATCAATCGCAAGAGATCAATCGTCTCACTCTCGCTCACTTCATAATCTCAGGATTCCACTTTCTCGGCGCAAGAGATCGTGTATGTAATCTCGATCTCTGTTTCTTCCCTTAGTTTGTTTTGTAGTTATCAATCATCAAGTTTGTAACTTTGATTACTGAAGGTTGATAAAGATGTTGTTACAAACTGGGTTTTGTCCTTCCAAGCCTTTCCTAGTAACAGAGCTGCACTGAAAAATGGTATCTTTATCGAATTATGACTTATCTTTGAATCGTTTTAGCATTTGATTATGATCAAGGGTTCGAAATCTACCATGTTGTTGTGGCTTCTCTTCTGCTGCAGGGGAATTTTATGGTTTCTTTGGTTCAAGGAGTTCTCAGTTTCCTCAAGATGAGAATGGGGTATAATAAAGTCTTGCAAGATTTTACTTTGATTCTCTTTGTTT